ACCCCCCCCCCCCCGTATTTTATTAATGTGAACTAGTAATTAAGAGAACTCTCCCTGTAGTTTATTTATAAGTATTTTTAATATCTCATAAACAGCACAAATCTTGATTTCTGATGTCGTTTTCAGAGCCCTAACTAACCTATGAAAAATCTCGCCCCAGAAGCAATCCCTATCCATCTAAGTGGAACGACATCCCGGGATTAAATTGTTACTAAATGTGACCAAAGGAAATCTGCTTCTGCAGTCGGCTCCGATTATTTCTTCACTTCGCGCTTTATTTGGAAATGGGAAGAAGAAATAACGTTACATCCAGTTTTTAATTAGATAAAGCTACAGGTATTTATGCGCTTCAGATTTGCTCATTAGCAGCTATTTTATAGATCCTACAATGTAAAAAAATAATAAAAAAAAAAAGATAGTAAAACCACACCGAAATTTAAATGAGGAAGAAAAGAAGTAAACAAACACGTAAATAGCTACAGTCGCCTTCGTGCTGCCTCTCGAAAAGGGTGGAAGAAACGACCTCAAAGGATGAAGGAAACCTCCTCAAATAAAAGACAAAAGGAGCAAATTTGCAGCTTTCCAGCTCAGCCAGGCTGTCGCAGAAATTATACTCCAGCTCAAAAGAGGCCGGATCTCCCCCAGAATACCTGGTTTGGTTTTGTTCCCACCGCTACAGCAAAGCGCAGACCTTGCTGCACAGACGAAAGCTTAAAACTAATGTTCTCTTTTAACAGATTAAACTTCTGATAATTAGTTTAGCTTAGAATTGCAGGTCTTGTTTGTTTTCTAGAAGCCTGCTCTAAAAAAAACATTTCCCTTTTTGACCTGTGCTGATGAAAAACTTTGGCAGTGGCCATGTTGTTTCTGCCAGAAGGAGAAGCTGTCGATGCAGATATTCCTTGGACAAAACTCTAGCCCGCTATTCAGCCTCGTACACATTCTTTTCCTTTAGCAACGCGAGGCGTTTGCAAACAAAAGAAGTCAGAAATACATCTCTTCTTGCTTATTAGATACCTATCTCTAATTAAAAGTCCACGCAGGCACCCTGCTCACTTTGCCAGCTTCTGAGATGGAATATTCCCCCTGACTTGTCTCGGCCACTTCTCTGTTGCCTGAATTTTACAGTGAAATCTCTTTTCGGCGCGGAACTGTATTTCTGTCACAGTCCTCCCCATTATCAATTCCCATCTGACCGAGGTCCCCAGTCAAAGAACACCATCAATATTAATCACGATAATAATAATAATTCATATCAAGCATCTTCCATTCGCTTGGCCGTCTCCGTTACGTTATGAAATTAATAGATCTGCCACCACCAAAGAAAAATAGCATAAAGAGAGAAATCTGATTAAACTAGAGATAAAATTTTAAACAATTCTGGGAACTGCCAAGGCCAGCCTTTGGGCTCTTCTGTGCACCGCTCAAATCCAGTTAGCAAACTATGAGGGCTATTTAGTTATTTGTTTTGATGTAATCAGCTTGTGAATTATGTTTAATCAAATTAATTCTGCCTGCTGCCAAGAGAGAAGAAAAGCAAGGACATGGATAAAAAAAACCAGACCAGAAATACAATATTCTGGGTTATTGCAGCCTGTTACAGAAGCAGGAGGCTGCATACAGCTCTCTACAACATCAACGGTTTAAAGTTGTGCCGCAACCACGGAAGGATTGGCAAAGGGGGTTTTGGGGCATCATGGTCTTTGAAGGTGATTCTTCTACTTGAAAAAAAAAAACAACAAACCTTTTTATTCCTTAAGATTCAGCAAGTTTAGTTCATTTCTGGATTTCTTTCCAGATGACCTAGATGTAAATATTTAAATTCTATTCAAGCTTCATCGAGATTTGCTGGGACACCGTCCTTTCTTACGGCCACATGACCTGTAGGATACAGCCTAAAATAGTCCCAACGGGTTCCACGTATCTTTTTTCTCTTCGATAAAGATCCCTGTTCATACATACAACCTTAAACCACCTTTTTACACAGTTATTATGCCACACACAGCCCCAGCTTTGACAGCTTAGAAACTGATACCCCGCGTGGCATGGGGGATGCTTGGGGAGGTCTCTCCGTCCGCACAGCAGACGAGTTTTGGAGCAGAGGTCAAGGCTGACTTGGAGAAATCCTCACCCCACCATTGGCATCATTCACCACCACTTGGTCACAAAAAAAAAAAAAAAAAAAAAAAAAAAAAAAAAAAAAAGGATTGAGACCGATTTTCTTTCCCTATCACGGAACAGCAGCCCCGAACGATACGGGTTAACATTTAAATCTGGCTCCATACAACACTTATATCTGCAAATTAATCAAGGCTTCATTTGGGAACGTAGTAACGACCTCTAAAATGGTGGGTAGGGTCAAGTTTTAGGCCCTTCTCTTCCCCATCTGCACCTGTAAGCACCGCTCCTGCAATAACACAGGGTAGGAGCATCCACACACCATCCCGTGCAGCACCGTACCCTGCAGCTTGTTTTCTATTTTTGTTCTAAGTATTTTAAATGGAAATGATCACCACAAAAGGTCACGAAATGTGATCAATTGCTCTGTGGCATTTTACCTCGAGAACAAGCAAGCAAAAGTAAACACAAAGGTTTGGAACAAGATGAGCCGAGACATCGATGCCCTTTGGGCAATATGTGTAAGGGGAATTTAAAAGTAACTGGAGCTGGGTGCATTAAAAAAAAATAAAAATAATCAGAATATACATTTGATGTTGTGAAAATAGAGAAAGATCAAAGTGACAGGTACTGAGTGTTCCCAGCAAACCAGAGATTTGATAAAATCTCGCTCAACCGCAGTATATCCCCGTCTGTGAGCTTGGGGCTCCCACTCCTTGGTAGCTGTGCGAAGGGAAATCACCAAATTTCATGCCCGAGGAGACGTCCTGACAAGGAACAAGGGCTGGGGGGTTTTGTGCCCGCCCTTCACGCTCTGAACTGGGACATTTCCATGGCCGAACGGGCCTCTCATTGAAATCAGGCACAGAAGAAAAGCTCGGGGACTTCCGGTGAATGGCAGGAAGAAATAAAAAGGCAATAATCACAAACTTTTTTTTTTTTTTCAAAAGACATTCGGAAACAACACTCGACACGTCGAAAACATAATTAACATCTATTATGTACAATATTGTATTACAGAAGAATATCAACCCACTTCATCAGTGATATGGAAACATCAGACTTTTTTTTTTTTTTTTTTTTTTTTTTGGAGGAAAGTACTGGATTTAAGAGAAAAAAAAAAAAAAAGCACTTTTCACAAGACAAATATATTGGTTGGAACGAGCGAGCTGACAACAGACCTACCTGCACGTGGTGCGTATAACCTCCCACTAAAATCATTCTTTCCCACTAAAATCATTCTTTCCCACTAAAATTATTCTTTCCCCCCATCACCTCTTCCCCTGGCGCAGCCCTGCTGCTCGTGATTCCCCGAGATTGTTCCGTTTAATCAACGCGCCGTTACGTTTCTTGCAGATGTTAATCTGCAATCAGGGAACGGGTCCTGCTTGTTCACCTAAGTTTAAGTGATGCTACTGTAAAAATGGAAAAATCACTGGCTTCCCTCAAACATTTTTTTTTTTTTTTGGGGGGGGGGTGTTTTTGGTCTTATTTTAACACAATCTCCTGGAGAAGCAAAAGGAACCTTCTGCAAGGGGCAGATTGGGTCCCTTTGTGTGTGAAAAAGCTACACAGAGTAGGAATAGTTCGATAAAATAAGAAAAGCTACCCAAAGTAGGAACAGTTACATCAAATAAAAATAGCTGCACAAAGTAGGAAGAGCTACACAAATACCCGGCCCTGCTGGCCGCGAGCACGTGGCAGACTTACCCTGGAGTTAACCACTTCCAAGGAGACGTTCTGAGGCATCGCACTGGGCACTGAAAGGGAAGAAAAACACAAAGAAATGGGAAATATTGCCGTTAGTGTCCAAGTCAGAATAGCTTACATCGACTATTTCTCTTGTCGGAAAAGAAACAAAGCGCCGCTTTTACACCTAGTTTATAATCTGATCACAACCGTGCCGCTAAACCAGGTGGCACTTCAGAAGTCCCCCGGGGAGAGGAAAAACAAATGCATCTGTTCATTTCTTCCCATTTTTGATAGACCTATTAGCAAGCCCTTTAAGCAGCCAGTCAGCAGGCTCCCTGCAGTGAGACCCACGACTTGAATTCGGTTATTTGTTATAAACTTGGTCAGGAAGAAACAAGAACTTGCCACGACGTCTCTGGTTTTTCTGGATTAAAGGGCGTTTTTGGAATATACGTTACATATTTGGAATCTGTATTATATACAGGTAGAGCAGGGTGTTCCCTTCTTTGTGATACCCTTTTGTTTGGAAGGATGATTAAGAATAAAAGAAAAAAAAAACCAACACCTTTGCCTTTAGATTTTTTTTTTTTTACAAAGCGTTTCACAGGAAGGCTCTGCTTGTCACACACAACATCATCCACACCTGGTTTTATACAGCTAAGCGGTGTTATATTTCTTCGGATAAATCTACTATCATTCTTAAATTAAATTAAATTCTTAAGTCGAGAATTCTTAAGTGGGTTAAACATCTTACAACGATTCGTGAGAGGGTCCCGCACCCGTGGCTTGAACTCAAACGGTTCTGACCCAGGGGATTTTTTTTTTCTGTCTTCAAAGTTTCTTTAATCTCGCTTTCTCTACTTATATATATATATATATATATTTAAAATAAAAAAAGAACAAAACAAACCCGTTTGGTGCAAATTTATTTATCCCACTCGTGCTGCCAACTCCCTGCCTGTGAAGGATTGGGCTCCCACCACCAAGACACAGCATGGCTCCCGGTGAACGCTCAGCACCCTCCCAGTTGGACAAGCCATTAGCAACTCTTTCCTGACCAATTTCTGCCCATTTTCCCACTCCAGATCTGTATATTTATTTCCAATGTGCTTGTCCAATGGCGGTTCAAATGGCTATTCCTCCAGCTGAATGGCAAATATTAATTCAACCCCCGAGGAGCCCAGAGCTTTAAAAACAAGCTCGTGGTTGGTGATGCAGCAACTGCCTGGTGCGAACCTGAAGCTTTGTCTTCCTTTCTTTTCTGAAATATTTGCCTGCCTGCTAACGTGGGCTGCTGAAGAGTTGAAAAGCAGAGGTGTAGTTTATGTTTACAGAAAGGTGGCCCTGAATTTTGGGGAAAAAAAAGAGGGAAAAAAAGAAACACGGTGAATACCCAATTTAAAAATAGTTCACAAGGCGATGTATTAGGGTTAATGAGAGAAAACTTTTTTTTTTTTTTTTAAGAGTACAAGTATGAATATACCAAGTCAAAGAAGAATTAACACATCTTTTATATGACATTTACAACAACACTAGGGCAAAAGCATTCTTGTTGCAATCACCCACACATTTGCACTGATTCGGCAAAGAACTACGAGAACGGGCCGAGACCTAAAACATCTTAAGCGATCAAAGAAATTAATTTTGTTTAAAAAAGGGCAGCGTTAAGAAGTGCATGGATTATTATCTATTATTATCTGAAAGGGCAAGGACTTCCGGCTGCGGAGAATAATTGTAATAGGCAAAGAGCTACGAGCTGGGATCCATCTCCACTGGAAATCTTTAAGCTTTGCTTTACAACTGCTCCAATCTTCATGGAAAATTGCTGTCTAGGAGTGCGGGACATCCATCGCCAAGCAAAATAAATATTTCTGCAAATCACTTTTTCCAACCAAAACTTCCAGCGGGAGGAAGTGGTGAAATTCTATGTGCTGTATGGAGGCAGATGTAAGGGCGGGCTGGGTCTATATTGTCCCTGCGTATTGTTTCTATGTCTTATTTTTATATTTATTCTATATCTAGTCCCTCTAAGGTGCCAGCTGTGGCAGATGGAAACAATCCGTACAGCCTGGCTCAACGTCAGCGCTCTGGAAGAATCAGGCTGAGTCTACAGCGAGGAGTCACCTCGAACCTGAACATCTACGAATCTCTACAGAATGTTATAGGCACTAACACGACAAGATACACACACACCCCGCAGTCATGAAGGGCAAGGATGGCAGCAAGTCGTCTACAAGCTGGTTTTCCCGAGTTATTTTAAGCAGCGGTGGTCAGACAGCTCCTCTGTTGGGCTCTGTCTAGTCACGTCTACGTTCAATAAACAAGTCCCCTAAGTGCAGCACTTGGTAGCATCCTCAGCGCGCGCTGCTATTTAAGGACTGAAGTCGGTCAAAGCGAAGTCATTTGTCAGTGCTAATCGGAAAATAATTATTTCTAACGCGCGCAGGCTATAAAAAGAGCAAAAGTTAACAACAGTTAACTCGGAGGGACCTGCTGGCAGCAAAGTCACACGTTAATACCACTGGCCTTCATGAAGGCCCTGCGGATCATAACCAAAAAAAAAAAAAAAAAAAAAAAGAGGAAAAAAAGTTGGATTTGAAGCCTAGTTATCCGAAAATTCAGATTGCTTGGAGGTAGATGTGCAGCAAAGCGAGCGAGAAGGAAGGTAGAAACTCTTCCTCAGGTTGGGGATCCCAAATTGCAGAGATTTGCTGTTGGAAACGGGCTGAGGAAGCAACAGCTTGAGCCGCTGAATCTCCCCAGAGTAGCAGCTTTAGAAACGAGCCGGTTTCTCCAGTTTCTCTTTATTTGTTTCCATAGTGCCCACGACAGCGTAAAAGGGATCCAAGGCGTCGCTGCCGCAACAGCACCGGCACCAGCAAACGGTACACGACACATTTCATCTCCCTTAATGCAGAGATGTCAGCGCTCACACTCCCCTTGTTTTGAGAACTATCAGAGAGAGAACCGCCTCGGTGTGGCAAGGAATAAGAAAACGGAGATAAGTTTTGGACTTTTCTGAAGGAGCCGCGTCTGGTGAGCATCTCTCTCTCCTGGAAAGTCCTGTTCTCCCTGGAGAATATTTGCTCTTGTTGGCGAGTAAAGCAGGACTGCTCAGAGCCTCGGTTTCTCCGAGGTGGTTCCTCTTCTCCCACCCCTCTCTCACAGGCAGTGAAGGCTCCTCAAGACGTTGAGTCGTCACCACCTTAAACCCTTCCTGCTCATTACTGACTTATTTTATTGTGCTACACATTATTCCCCTACTAAACTTCTCTTCATCCTTTATTTTATTTTTTTCCCCCCCCACTATTTGTTTGTCTTTCCATCATTTCGATTATTCCTCTTCAGTGGATGCTTGTCATATCTCCCAATTTTGTTGCATGCACGAACATAACTGATACCCTCCTCTTTTATTCCAGAACTTCAATCAAACCAAGAAATAAATCTAGACCTGACCCGGCATCGAACTCAATCATTTCCACAACGATACTGGGTGCCTTTATTCCGTGCTCACTGTTCAGCCAAGGAGATGCTTTGCATTACCAAATCAGAGACCCTGATTTAATATCTCGGGTTGCAAAACAATCAGAGAGCTCCTCTGGCAAACCCAGCGCCTCTGAGATTACAATTACTTCCTCCGGTTTTATATCTTGATCAAATAAAGAAATTGGATGCACCTGGTAAATTTTTTTTTTTTGTTTATTATTCACAGCTTAATTACAGCATTAGAAATTAGAGCAGAACTCATTTTACCCAGGGTTAGCTACGCAATAAGCAATGAGCACAGACAGATGAATCCAGGCGTAACTCGGCCCCTTTGTCACAGCGCAGGGTGACTCAGGGGGTGGAAGAAGACTTGAATACTGGGGAGGAGCCCTGCTGCCTGCCTTGAGCCAGGTGCTTAAAGGTGGGTGAGAGGAGCCTCACGGCTGGGAGTGAGGAAGAAGGAATGGAAAGAAGAATGATGGGGAAAAGGTTCGTGTGGCAAGGAAACAAAAAATACCTATTTGATGGTATTTTGTTTTTCTTTTCATAGAATCACACACTGGTTTGGGTTGGAAGGGAACTTAAAGATCACCCAGTGCCACCCCCTGTCCTGGGCAGGGCCACCTTCCCCCAGCCCAGGTTGCCCAAAGCCCCGTCCAACCTGGCCTTGAACCCTGCCAGGGAGGGGGCAGCCACAGCTTCTCTGGGCAGCCTGTGCCAGGGCCTCACCCCCCTCACAGGGAACAATTTCTGCCTCAGATCTCATCTAAATTTCCCCTCTGCCAGTTTAAGACTGTTCTCCCTCATCCTGTCCCTCCCTCCTGATGACGAGACACCCCCCCCCTTTCCCACAGCCCCTTTCAGCCCTGGGGGGCCGCTCTAAGCTCTCCCCGGAGCCTTCTCTCCTCTAGCTGAACCCCCCCAACTCTCTCAGCCTGTCCTCACAGGGGGGGCTCCAGCCCCCCCAGCATCTCCGTGGCCTCCCTTGGCCCCGCTCCAGCAGGTCCGTCTCCTTCTGCTGTTGGTGCTCCAGAGCTGGACCCAGCCCTGCAGGGGGGTCTCCCAGAGCGGAGCAGAGGGGGAGAATCCCCCCCTGGCCCTGTGCCCCCCCTGCTCTGGGTGCAGCCCAGCACACGGGGCCCTTCTGGGCTGCCAGCACATATTGCTGGCTCACAGGCAGTTTTCCACCCCCCAACCCCTCCAAGTCCTCCTCCTGGGGGCTGCTCTCGGTTTCTAACTGTTGAAATTTGAGGAGTATCTTTCCAGTTGCCTATCAGATGAACCCATGTCCTTTGTGCTTTTGCTAGTTTTCTGTTGTTCTGCAATTCTAGAGCAGAAGAGTCCAGAAGGAACGAGATGGCTGAGGAAGCCCCCCCGAGTATTTCACTGCAGCACAGAGAGCACCCACATCCCGCGGGTGCTCTTTGGGAGAGGCAGAGGCACCAAGCAGGGAGAGCAAACTGGGAGGTAAAAGGGCCAGATCCAAGTCCCCAGCTCAATAAAGTCTGGAACAAATCAAATATATTAAATAACCAAGTCTTGCTGGTGCTGGCACTAACTTCAACCACAAAACCTTCCCACAGATGTTCTTCACCCAAAAAGGTTTCAAGGCTGATGCTCACATAAAAAAAAAATATTTTGCATGGGGAAATTCCCAAGTAATTCTTGCAGGGGAAAGAGGAAGAGGAGGAAAACGCCTCTATATAAAGAAGGATTGGATAATTTTGGGGGATGTCACCATACCAAGAGGTTCGGCTACTGCGGTGGCACAAGAAGCCCGTGGCTCCTCGCCCTGCTCACAGGGAACTGCTAATGACCTCGGAAAAACTTCAGAGACTGTCTCCTCTGTCAATCTGAACTTCAATCTTTGATTTTTACTTTAAAAAAAAAAAACAAAAACAAACCCAAACAAAAAAAAAAACAACCCACCAAGCGTTCATCCTATAATTATGGATATAAATTACATTTAAATCAACTACTCAGGAAGCATGAAATTCTACTGTCTGCCAATTGCTGGGATTAAATGCATTTTGTTAAATTCATGAGCGCGATAGCTCAAAGCATTTCTGAAACGGCACGCAGCTTGGCCAAATATTATCTGAGCTGTATTTTAAACTGAAAATTAAGCATTAAAGCTACAGCATGTTCCTTGATCTGCCGAACGCTGTCTGGGGGGGGGCTGTAGCTCCTGCAGCTGGAGATGCCACACTAAATCCCTTTGATTGGGGTGCGTCTCTCAGGCTACAGGTTACATCCCAGAGTTTCGTGGACAATTTCTGCCTCCAGACCTGTAGGAACTAATAGTAGAGGCTGTTCTTTTTTATGCAACTACATGCACCTTATTGTATGGTACACAGCAAAGGATCGGCGTGGAAAAAAAAATAACCTGCTCAAGCACGGATATTTTCAAGAGGAAAGAAGACTTAATTGTGACCCTGTCAATTTTTTACAAGCGGAAAGGAAAGGCAGATCAGTCTTCAGGACTTTTCTCCCATTTTTGACGTTGACTTGTGGTTCAAACAAGCTTTTGGAAAAGCAGCACAGGAGGAACTCACTGCCCTTTGAGAGGGTCTCGGTTCCTTGCCTGGGGGCTGCCCTCCAGATTTGGCTACCAGGGTGAAAATAAATGGCCGGAGACTACATGGACTGAGATGCAAACCCAACACAAAGACCAAAGGGAGCTGGTTGTGACGTGCCAGATGCTCTTCGTTAACAGTTTTATCCGGCGGCAAAAGCACCAAGCAGGAGCAGAGAGAGGTGGCCAGTCGCTGTCTCTTTGGCAGGGCTGGTTCCTGACTGATCAAAATCTAAATTTAAGCCGGACTATGCGTTGCAATCTCGAAATCACAGTGGGGAAGCCTAGGGAGCTGCTCCCCGCCATGGGGAGGGTGGTGGCAGGAACAAAAACCAGCCCGAAACGGGCAACTACAGCCTTTCTCCTTCCTTTATCTCTCCCCTATAAACCAGGAGAGATTAAATGTCTTTGTCCCTCCTCTACGTAGGCTGTTAGCTCGCCCATACAGGAGTTATTTCTTGGTGTTTTATTGCACGTCCTTCTAGCAGAAGGGACCTTAACCCTGGGAAAGGTCTCTGCGTGGTACCATAAAAGAAGAAAACGCAGAAAGTTTTTGGTGCTGCAGACTTGCTCCCTCTTTTCCTTCCTTTCCTTCTCAGGACAGACAGGACCACGGCTTGGCCAAAGCCCGGCTCCCTCTGTGGCCCTTTGGTTGCTTTTTGTTTTTTTCATACAAGAGACCAAAGTGGTTTCAGGCAGACTCGGAATAAGGAGGATGGAAAGATACCCTAAAGGGATTCTCTCTTCTTTTACAGCTGCTCTAAAAAAATTTAAAAAAATAAAATAAAAAATTAAAATAAAATAAAATAAAATAAAATAAAATAAAATAAAATAA